TCTGTGACTGAATCTGTCAAAGTTCAATGGTATAACTTTTATATACCAGAAAGTTGTGAAGAAATATTTGAATGTTGGGATTCAGGTAAGTTCAAATAGGGCTGGTGGCCGGACAAAGATTGTTCAGATGATGAAGCCTGAGACGGTGAAGGCAGTGGAGAAATTTATCGAGAAATACGGTCCAGAAGCACTTGATAGAGTAATCAAAGGGGTAAAAAATAGCAATTAACCTACTTATACAGTTTATGGTTTGTTTCCAGCCATGAGTTCCCCTATAACATAAGCACTCTTGGGTGGGTTGGGCCATTCAATCAAATCTTTGAGAAGAGCCCAATCATATATTTGATGATATTGTGGCATGCATTTGTCAACTTATCTGTACATGTAACAGGGTTCAAAAAATAGTCAAGAGAACCCCCCACCCCCACTCCCACTCCCACCCCAACTGCAGCACCATACAAATATGCACATAACAACATCCAATTTTTGCAGGCCGAGAAATAGGAAGACGAAGAATACTAGGAAGTTCAACATCTTCATAAGTTCCATTGAAGCTTTTCGTCTGGTAATAATTTGGTTGAGTACGAAAGGAAATAGAGTCAACATGTAACTATCATTAAATAATAAATACATACAGATGATTTACATTTAATTATCATCTTCTGCATGATCTCATACTCCTATATCTTTTCTCGGAATATGAATAAGTAAAAAAGACTTTCATTTTTACAGTTTATGCAATACTTTTCAGCACATGCGCGATAAATAGAGATACAGCTACAGCTCATCATCGACTAATTGGGATAATCTGAGGATGCGACTCTCATGATCTCACATAGTCTATAATTGGGATAATACGAGCACAAAAGCAAAGCACATTAACTGAAAGGTCAAATTCAAATAAATATGGATTTCCATCAATAACAAAGATATTACAATCAACTTCACTACACTATCGGTTTGACATTGCTTTCTCACACACATAACTAACATTAATTCCTTCTGGTTGCAATTTTATATAGTACGACAAACTTGAAGAGGAAAGGATAAATTATATAAATACAAAATGACTTGGGCAACACTCAAATAGCCAGAGTTAAAGATGGTACCATTTTGTCCTCAATATTGATGAGCGGTGATCTTCTCATCTACTTGTTGAAAGATAGTACGTAAATGTCTTTTGAACATAAGTTGCATAAGAAACAAACATAGTTTCACACTTTTCAGCTTATTTGACAGCAAACAAGCCACATTTGAGTATAATTCTTCTTATTCAAGCTGAAGCATAGGCATAGTAGGCGGAAACAAAATTGAGTATTGGAGTGATCCTCCTGCATTAAAAGAAGCATTAGAAAACTGAATATGAGGAACAATCACCAAAATTGACCATGATAAGCAGCAGGCTTACTCCTAGAACCTGAAGATTTGAGCCGATTTCTCAGATTCTAAAAGTCTGAAGCCTGTAGTTGTTGCTGCAAAAGGGATGGTTGCATGGGCTGATTTGTAACCATGTTGATCCATTTTTTGACAGGCCTTGAGTATGTGCTTTGCTCCGGCAGTCAGCTTAACTGGACCTGATCTTGCTGTGCCACTCAATGGATGCTTCCCTATTAAAATCGTCTGTTCATCCTTATCATTCTCGTATTCTCCACGAGCCACGATTTTTTCTTTCTTTTTGGCAAAATCTGATTGAAATTGTTGCCCAATATTTCCAGCTTCACCTTCAAAATTAACACAGGTCATTGATTTCGTCACAGAAAAACTAGGTGCTTCTTGAATTCCCAACTTAGGCATCTTCAAAGGCTTAAAAGAATCATCTGATGCAGCCGAAGCCCGTTTTCTGGCTTTCTTGCCATGGCTACGTCCTCTAATTCTCATTCTTGAACTGATTGGTTCTTTGAATTTTAACTGACTTCCATGTCTCTTCTGCAATACTGAATTTGGCGCAATTCCAGAGTAGTAAGACATGGGTGCACGCTGAGTCAATGGAGCTGGAGCGATTGAATTATGAAAGGCAGAGCCAGAGGTGAAAGAATTGTGAAAACAAGAAGCTTCATGCGTCAACGACACCGGAGCATCAGTCCAAAAATTAGTTCCCGGCATCGTAAGGGGACCACAACTGCTGCCCAAATTAGAGAATGATTGGCCAAAACTCAACAATGTTTCTCTTTTGGCAACATCAGACAACAACGGGGACACGTTCTTAGGAGAGTGCTGAGACCAAGATGATTGCACATGACCTTCAAGATCTGGGTGGATAAATGGAAATCGGATCACTGATCTTGGAGCATGAGGCAATCCCTGAAAAGCAGGTCTTGGCATAGGGAACTCAGAACTAACTGTTTTGGTATCATATCCATGGGTGATGGGATCCTGGACTATAGATCTCATATTATGAAATGCGGAGGAGTTACCAGGAGAAAGACAAGTATATAATCTGGGAACGGGATTTGTTTTGCTTGCAACAAAATCATTCTGGCGCATATCAGTACTTTGCAAGGCAAAGTGAGGGGAAGTTGGCAACATACTTTCTGATCTGTGATTGATTTCAGTTTCTGATAAACAAGCCAAAGTTTCTTTGAATTTTCCTAAAGATGGTTCATTCTGACTATAAATTGTAAAATTGTCGGTGGCAGTACCACTAGAATGATGCTCAGCTACGATTTGATTATCCTTCCAAAGCTCCTTTCCACTAACTATAAATTCTTTACCCATCAAACGCATTTTTGATTGGACAAAATGAGGCAAAACACAATCACGGTTCCTGCTCTTCTGGTAATCTTCTTGGCATCCATGGTAAGACTCAATCTCCGGGTGCAGGTACCTTTCCACTGTATTAAAGAAATGATCATTTCTTTTGATCAAATTCAAGTCAATATTTGTTTTTCCATCATGTAGACATTCAGTAATACCTATTCTAGATTGCATAACAACAAAAGGGTTCTCTTTCATATAGCCCTTGACAGGGAACTGATTCGACTGGTCCCTGAGGGATGTTCTACATTCCCAACCTCTGTACTCTGAATGATTACCCATGCAATTCGGATTGAAATTGCTATTCTGGGCAAGGTTAATGGAAGAAGCTGCATTGCAACTTGGCTTTATTGTCTGTTGAAACTCCCCTTTACCACTCAAGTTCAACTTGATTAATTCTCCGTGTGAATTGAGCGGTAAGCTGATAAAATTTCCATCAATTCTTTTTTGATTCACTTCTGGAAGGGCACATAAAGTCGGCAGCAATTCCTTTGGCGACAGATGAGGAAATGATTGGTGCTCAAAAGCGTGAACACTATGATCCTGTATCGTACTTTGTGGGGGAAATTGAGGCATCATGTTTGATTTTTTCTCCAGTTTATATAAATATGGAGTAGAAGGCTCATTATATTTATATGGAGTAGAAGGCTCATTATATGCTTTTGGATAATCCTCGATACACAATGGAGGAAATCTGGGACCGGGATCCCCTAGATGCTCGATCAATCTTCCGTGGTTATTGTAAGCACTTGATGTATTTCTCATCACTTTGATACTCGGGTTTTCGGAATGTCCTTCTGGATATATATAAAAGAACGGAGGATAAGCCCGCAAAGGGTCGTGAAATGCTTCTCCATGGTCTCTTTCAAACAAATGTAAATTCATACCTTGCAGTGAACTTTGATATGAATATACGGATGTGTCAAACAGTCTCTCGTGGTTATCTTTCTTCACGAAGTTAGATGTATCAAATTCATGGCATGCAATAGTCAACTGCTTTTTAAGTGCAGATTGAGCACCACGCCCATTTTCAGTTCCACCAGAAACATCTTCACTTCCACTTGTTTTTACAACGGTCGAATTATTTCCTATCTCTCCAGCATGGTCATCCAATAAAGAAGAAGCAACCTTGTCGGAATCTGAACCACGAATCTTTGTTAACACTTGACATCCTAGTATGTCATCCTTGTCTGAGAAAGTGAAGTGTTTGTTCACCTGTTGTGTTCCATGTGGATTGGCTTGAATAGACTCATGCAAGATGCGATTCCTTGGTTGCCGTAGTGAAAAAACTTTAGTGTACTTCTTTAAACTTCCACGGACGGGAAACTCTGATTTTTCATTTTCCGCAGTCACATTAGAAGAATTACAAGCTATTAATGCCTTCTTTTTAGCATCCAAGCGTTTCCCTTTTGGCTTCCCCTTATGGATCGGAACAGCATCAGATATATCAAAATCCAACTCTTTAAAAACACCCTGAGATTGCAGGTGGAGCTTAAAACATATCTCCTGGAAAGCATATAAAATAAGTCAGTGATTATAATATATAAAGGAGAATGATTTCTCGAGGGAACGGAAATCTATTCCTCAAAATAAAACAAACCAAAAGTCAATTTTCCGTTGTTAACCAACCAACTTGATGAGATTTGGGGGAAAAAGATGAAGGTTACTTCAAGTTTTCTTTTTCTTTCTTACAGGCAAGCTCGTTATTCAACAAAATGCAATACCTCAACTATCTCCATGACAAACAAGAAAATCGTTTAGCATCACATTGCAAAAAATCAAAATCATATGATTTTAAATAACTAAAGGGGTTTTATTTAACCCACATATGCCATTAAACCATTATTTCATGTGCTTTCCATTTTCCGATGCTAAAAAGTTTATATTGGAATTATGTCAACAGCAATAGTCTGATTTTTAATTTCAAGCAAGTAAGCGATAAGCATATGATTTCTAGGACCTAAACAAAATGCATATTTAAAAACCAAGAATTCGAGTTTTTCGTTAGATGCCATTGTTTAATTAATCAAAACACTAAAGAAGTTAAGCAGCATATATTCATCTCCAGACAACAGTTTGATTATCGTTAAATCACAATGCAAGTACTGAAACTTGAAACTCATATCAATGAATTCAATAAATAAGATTGAACCCGATATTAACGCATTTATTTAATCCATATCGCTCCAGTACATTCTAAAGGTAAGATACAAGTGACCGAATAGTCCATACTGTAACATCAAAACCAGTGGCATCCCTTAGCTTTCCAGCACTATACACTACCCCACCCATTAAATTGAATGGAAACAATCCTTAAAAGCCACAAAAGTAATTTTTAATTCATTGAGTGTTCCAACATTAGAGATTTGCATTGAACCCTTCAATCAAGAATCACCCAAAGCATTGTGTAAAATATTCGATTCAGCACCTCAATATTCTATAGGGTCCCAAAAATTACTGTGAACCAACTCTTACTAATTCACTTGAAAACAAAAACCCATATCGTAATTTTCACCGTTTTACACCGTTCAATTTTCATCGCTTCAAGATGATTTACAAACCCCAAGCATCTTCCAAATAGTCCTCTACATTGAGCAACCCTAACTTAACAAAAAAGTTCAAGAAATCATATGGTCAAATTTTTGGAATATGATAAGAATTTAAATGCCCCCAAATATTTGCCATGGCAATGATGGTTCAAGAGAAGAACATAGGCAAACAGTAGAAAAAACAACATAATTAATTAACAAAATTTTAAACCTCATAAAAAATTGCTGTCCAATTCGTGCA